CTCACACAAATTGTGAATGCTAGTCTTCAATTTTTGGAAACATATAAAACTGTAGGCTCACACAAAATGTGAATGCTGGTCTTCAATATATAGAAACATATAAAACTGTAGGCTCACACAAAATGTGAATGCTAGTCTTCAAATTATGCAAACATTTTCTGAGATTCCAGGAACTTCCCGGGGCCCGAGTACCAGGTACCCCCTGCACCCCCCTCTCATAGTTACTGTGACTAAATACATCTATCACAAGACATTAGTATTCCTGACTACAGTATTTTTAAACATTACATTCTTTATCTAGTCCCCCTGCACCCCCTCTCATAGTTACTGTGACTAAATACATCTATCACAAGACATAAGTATTTTTAAACATTACATTCTTTATCTAGTCCCTCAGATAAAATATGTGTTGTTTAAAAATATAGGTTCAAGAAATCAGTCCATTGCAGGTTTTAATACGTTAAAACCGAGCACTTTCAAAAGGTGGTCCTATCTTGTTCAAGAGCACACCAGGGATTCCCAGTTTGTGCCTGAAGATGAAAAGTGCTCGGATTATATAGTATTGTATGTTTGTTTTAAACGGGTTGCTCTTTACTAGCTGCCTTCCCTCTAGTATATCAGTTAAAGTTAGGGATGGCTAGTGCGTAACTTTCGTGTAGCTTTGCATGAATATCCAAAACAAACACTGTCATTACTATGAGTTATTTAAAATTTCGTAGTTATTAATTGAATTCAAGAAAAGTTAGAAAAATAAGCATATTTAATGCAAATAATGAAATATATGTTTCATCAAATAATTAAACCTTTTTCAAACAGTGAATTCAAATTAACAAATTTCAGGTTTCATTTTTTTATTTTCTTTGAAATTGAAAATTAGTTACTGTTTTTTTTTCAGCATGCTTCAGACCTCAATGAAGGATATGAAATAAGCAGAATATTAAAAGTTTGTCTCAGCTGTACTTGATACTACAGTGGACCTGAAAATCTTGATTTTTTATTAGGGTGAACAACTTATCAAAAGTATTAATTGTACGTCAGATGTACTTGGCTGCTACAGTGGACCTGAACATCTTGATTTTTTATTAGGGTGAACAACTTATTAAATGTATTAATTGTACATCGGATGTACTTGGCTGCTACAGTGGAACTGAACATCTTGATGTTCTGTTGAGAATTGTATTGTATATTTATTCTTCTAACTCTCAAATTAGCAATTTGAATTAAATGTACTGTTGGCCTCTCTGAAAATTTGTTAGTGTTTTCAGCACGTCATACAAAGTGTTGGTCTGTTATGCCTGGCTACTTTTGTACAAAGTACCTTACAGTAATTGTTGTTATTGTTAAGTATATAACTGTATAAAATAGCCCAGATATGTTGCATGATCTACCTTAAAGCAAGAGATACAGTACCAGTGTTGTATTTTACAAGAAGACCTGGATAATAATATATTTAACGAATTCTTGCTGCTCAATAGAAGAACATTTCTAATGAATAAAGTGATAAATGTTGCTTGTTAAATAGACTCGTAAACTGATGTTTCTTCCCAGTTAATAGCTGTAATACATTGGTCGTTCTTCCCAGTTAATAGCTGTAATACATTGGTCGTTCTTCCCAGTTAATAGCTGTAATACATTGGTCGTTCTTCCCAGTTAATAGCTGTAATACATTGGTCGTTCTTCCCAGTTAATAGCTGTAATACATTGGTCATTCTTCCCAGTTAATAGCTGTAATACATTGGTCATTCTTGCTGGTTAGTAGCTGAAATACACTGGTAATTCTAGCTGGTTAATAGCTGTAATACACTGGTAATTCTCGCTGGTTAATAGCTGTAATACACTGGTCATTCTTGCTGGTTAGTAGCTGAAATACACTGGTAATTCTAGCTGGTTAATAGCTGTAATACACTGGTAATTCTCGCTGGTTAATAGCTGTAATACACTGGTAATTCTCGCTGGTTAATAGCTGTAATACACTGGTAATTCTCGCTGATTAATAGCTGTAATACACTGGTGATTTTCGCTGGTTAATAGCTGTAATACACTGGTGATTCTCGCTGGTTAATAG